TCTTGTTGCAACATGTAAATTAAAAGTAACATGCTTATTGCATCTCAGTGCTTACAGCTCCCATGTCTAGTAACTATGTGGAACATGGACTGTTAAAAAATTTCCATGGAAACGAACTGAAAGCTTTATCGATCAGCCGCGTGTTGGAGCGCGCTTTGGAATAACTGCTCGCACGCATTGTCAGAGGGGACAATCGTTACTGGAACGAGGTTGCCTTCCCATGGCTACTTGACAGCCTGGAGTTCTGCAAACCATGATATATCTAACAATAGTGCGCCTTCATTCCGTGTTCCTTCTTGGCAAATATGTGATTATATTTTATTACCATACGTAAGTAATTTAAAACCATATATATTTAAGATGAAACGTAAACGATAGAGCTTAACTTCTCACGTAGATGACAGTGTGGGATTTATTTTGGACGAGGTAAATAACTGATGTGAGTGAGGGGTAAAGAGAAGTATATTTATATATTCCCGGTACCATATTTGGTTACATGTTTCAGGGGATGTGTCAAAAAATATCACTAGCTGTTTTCGTAAGCCAGGCGAAATGTTTAACAATGTCTTTCACTGTTGTTGGGCATTTGATTTGAATTGTATTATCATTTGTGACAAATGCTCACCAGATAACTCTGATGATACAAATTATATTGTACTATTTTCTCCATATACGGAAGCAACAAATCGTGTATGCCTTATAATACTTATATATATATATATATATATATATATATATATATATATATATATATATATATATATATATATATATAAAGGCGCTTTATTAAATTTGTGCAATGTCTTTTATCTTAAAATATATTTTAAAAAAATACCGGAATGACTGTTATATAAGGATTTATGTAGAGTATTAATTAAAAAAGTAAAAACATTGTAAAATAAACTATTTTAAGACATTCACCGTGTGTTAGTTTCTAGTCAGGTATTTATCCTCCATTATTGACATCTCTATACTCTCATCTGCTCTTATGATCCATTTTTGTTTTTTTACTCCCGAACCTAGTGAGTTTGTGTGAGTGTGTGTGTTGTGTGTGTGGGGCTCTATCCACGCCAGGGTAGTATTAAGATTGGTTTGTTTTGTTGCAGTCTATCATAATATAATATTTGTTAATCAATTTTTATCTGTTTAAGCAGTAGTCAGGATTATAAATAAACTGTCAATAAACAACAATAATCAATAATAAGTAACTGCATAAGTAGCAAAATGTGCTTCTATGTTGAATGACATCTACACTAAATCTAACTAAAAAAAAAAAATGCAAAATAATTAAATACAGTGCAAATAAACTGAATATAGTCAGAAGTCAATAACTTAAAATGTATGGTTCATTTTCTGTTGTGCAGCCTTGTTGAAATCTGGTTAGTTGTAAAAATGTTTTCCAGTACCTGTTTTATTGAGTAATGGTAGTGGTTAAAAAAAAAATTATTGTTTAACACTTCAGGTTAAAACTAAGAAAACTAGTGTCCATTTCTTTTTAACTTATACTTTTGCATTTTAACATTTAACATAATCATTGTTTTTAGCCATATTTTACAACTCACATAGTCCAAGGTTAATTTTTTTTATAATAAAAAAATATTATTACTAAATCATAAGAAGTTGTGTTTTGGCTTGAAAATGTTAAACAGAGTTAAATAACAAATGGGGCAGAGTAAATTAAGGCAAAACTGGATAGAACACATGCAATAGCATCAAATCCAATAACTTTTTTTTTTTGGGGGGGGGGGGGGTCTTGAGCCTGCTACACATTTTAAGGGGGGGGGGGGAGGGCTTCATGGGCCCAAGCCTTGTTCAAGTGTATAATATAAGGATAATGTGCTGAGAGGTATTTAAACATAGTATATTTGAAAATACATGATGCTTTTAACAAATACGTAAAAAAGGAGCTTTGATACATGGTTGGGGGTGGGCGCTTATCCCTCTTACAATCCGAGGGGGGGGGGGAGGTGGAGGGGGCTTAAAGAGGCTTAAGCTCTTAAGTTCTAGCCTCCCTGGACACATGGACTTGAGAAAAGTATATTATCTCAGTAGAAATCTATAAACATAGGCAGCTAGCTACCTTTGCTTTTGATGTTTATGAGGGCTTCCAGAACAGACAGGAGACGGTTATGGCAGCATTAGATCTTGAGGATGCCTACAATAGAGTCAGATATGATATTTTACTATCTGCACTCATGGAGAAGGAGGTTTATCCCTGGCTGGTGAACTGGACAGCAGCTGTCCTGCATTCACGTCTGGTTGCCCATTGCCTGGGTACATGGACCTCAGAACCATGTAATATCGCCCCAGGACTACCTACCCCTCTTCAATGTGTATACAAGCAAGACTGCAGAACTTGAAGCACCAGGTGCTGGAAGGATATTGACATTTGCTGATGATGTTTTTGTATATAGGTAGGAGAGTAATAGGCAACAGAAAGCCCAAGAGCTACAGGCAACTGTAGACAAAGGGACTGACTGGTGAGCAGAATGGGTGCTGTACTCAACTCAGAAAAGACGGCTGTTTTGTGGTGCTCTCTGGGAATTGTAAGAGCTAATGTTCCAAGCCTCACAATTAATAACAATAACATCAGCAGAAAAAGCAAACTGAAGTACCTGGGTATCACTTTGTATAGAAGCCTGTCCTATAGGGATTTCAAGGAGGCAGTTGTGGTGAACTGCCAAAAAGGAATCAATGCTCTCAAGATTATGGCAGCAATGGACATGGAACAAAGAATGCTGTTCACAATGTTCTAGATGAAATTTGAACGCATACAGAATGAAGCCATACGGGTAATTCTGGGATGTACAAGAGATACCTCGGTAGTATGCAATATATACTTGCACTGTCTACTATTGCAGATAGGTTCAAAGTTTTTCAAGCAAAGTCATATCTCAGAGTAGCTGCAGACAAGAAAAGCCCTGGATAGATCTAAGGGTAACAGACTGAAAAGAGGAAGGTCTTGGATGGCACAAGCTGAAGACACAATCAGACATGTGTGCAGTCTTGATACATTTATGCAAGGTGAGGAGTGGGTCAAAGTGTCCTAGCAAGTATCAGACTTGTGCAGGGTTCTTATCACTTTGGGTCCTGAGTGTGGGGACTGGCCAGCTGGCGCTGCAGAATCAGAAGCTCAACAAATGATTCATGATAATTCCTACCAAAGTGATGTGATTATCTATATCGATGGCTCTGTGTTGAGGGGCAGACGAAGTGCATGGGGGTTTATAGCAACGGTGAATGGACGTTGCTTAGTGCAACAAAGCCTGGCATATGATATCACAATGTCTAGTTTAATAATGGAGTTGGAGGCAGTCACTGCTGCCTTCCACTGACTTGAGAATCAGCTGTACACACATGCCGTGTTGTAACTGACTCATAGAGCATGTTGAGAAAAGAAAGTGGAGACAAGTATGCTCCATGCAGAGTGGCAAGCATCACTTCAGACCTCACGAGCAGTTAGTATCCTTTAGATATTCTCTCCAAGATATGCTGGTGTGTTTGAAAATGAACAGACATATAGACTGGCCGGTTCTGTGGTGGTGAATTGATGAATGACAAGCTAGACGTTGTGGGCCATCAGGGCATCGATAGAGTTTTCTTAACGTGGGCGAGTGAACAGTGCGGAAGTGCAAATTGATAATTACGGTCTTAGGAGAGTGGGGCTGCGAGGAGTTACCAGGGGATCTGGCCGACGCTCAACACTCAAAGGAGGGGTGAGTTACGGAGCCATCGGAAATGGAACTCTTTGTTTGCTGCTGAAGATGGGGACGGAGCACTTAGAGAGTTGCTGCGAGTGCTGTGATGTTGATTCTTATTTCAAAATTCAAACAAAGGCTGCTGGGGTTCTTGTTGTTGCAAGAGTAAGAGGGCCCTAAATTTAGTGGTGGATCCTTTACAGGATGTTGCAGATCCAACTTCAGCATTTGTTAGCTGGTTTGGTTTTACTTTTACTAGGCACTTGTATATTTATTAGTTTGCAAATGCTCCGATAAGCCTCCGATACAGTAAGCCTCCGATACCAATGTTGAAATTAGGGCAAAGTGATCTGCTGCTGAATGACCTGCAGTTTGAATCTAAGCAGGTGGCTTGGAGTATTCGTGTTTGGAGTGGTATTGTAAAGTAAAAATGTTTTCTAGGGGTTACTGATAATAAGTTAAGTTAATAGAAAGATTATCCTCGTTGCACACCAGACAAGCCCTTACTGATAATAGCAGATTATCAATTAATGAAAATAAATGTGACTTTAAGTGAGGTTGCGACTGATGCTATTAACATGACGACTCTTCGTTGGCTACTAAAGAAGGGAAGGAGCATGTATGGGAATGTCCCAAATACAGTGATGTCAATTCTTGATTCATTCATTAATTTATTCAGGGATCTCATCAGCTGATTGTACTAACCTTCTTTCTGTAAATTCAAGATGATTCTGTACAGTGCAGTTCTGTGTGTTATGTTTAGAAGTAATTTCCTTCAATGTTGTGCTGGGCAGTTTCTGCCATTTTCTTTCTCTTGTGCACATATCTGGAATTGGTAGTTATTAACCTTTTTGCACCAGGAAGTCGCAAACCCAGCATTTTTGGTAGGTTCCATTTCACAGAGAGTGCAGCTCAGCTTAACTAGCATTTCTACAGTTGATTTTTTTACAAGACACCTAGTTAATGACATTACTTATTTTCACTCCTGCACAAATGTTTAGCAGGCCAGGATATTAATATATTTACCCCCCCCCCCTTCCCCCATTTACAGGGGTTTTCCCATTTAATCAAATTATTTTTCCTTATCTTTTTGATAATCTCTCACAAATGAAATTCAGCTAAATTGTGTTCTTTTTCACAGGAAGGTGAGAAGAGGATTGTAGCTGAATTCAAGAATGGATGACATAGTTATAGAAATCTGGAGAACCTAATCTCCTGATGAGCTTCACTTCAGGCTTTCACATGTAGTGTAGGCAGACCACCAAGTGGCTGCTGACTTTACATCACATTACTCTGAGATTCATGAAGAATACAACATCATACAGCATGCTAACCAGCTGTAAAACAGAAGAAAGACACTGGTTCTCCTTCTTGGCTTCCAGCTTAGTCACATTTGGCGGTGGATTTGTTGTTATCCTGATTCACAAAATCATAACACTCTTACTCTTCAACAAGAAAAGTAGCTCTCAGGCAAGTAATCAGACAAAAACAGGAAGTGTTGACCATAAGAACAACTTGAAGACTTCTGATCCAGAGACAGGATGGATGACAGAAGCGAAAGACTGGGCTGGTGAATTGATTTCTGGGCAGACTACAACAGGACGTATTCTTGTAAGTAAAAAACAGTTCATTTGATATTTATTTATGAACATGACATGAAATGAGTTGATCTAAGTTAAGAACTGGCATCACAACATCTGGGACATTCCCATCTTCAGTGGCCAGGACAGGGTTCCAGTTCTGATGACACCGGTAGCAGTTTTACTATGTGTCTATCTTGCCGTAACTTTCTTTGATATTAGAGTGTTGGCTAGATCCACTGGTCAGTCCTAGCTGTACCATTCTCTCCAGGCCTTAATAGACTATTAGTGCTTCTCCATTTCTCACTTGCTGCCAAAGGACTTTGACTGTTCATCTAGCACATCGTGCATCACTTCAACACCCAGTAGTACAGAACCAGTCATTCTGTCTGCCTGTTCATTTCCTGACATACCTGCATAACGCAGAGAATATATCCAGACATGAACTACCCAAGATGTCTAAATTCTTCTTCTTCCCATTCATCAGTTGTAAACTCAGGCAGAAAGTGTTAGGTATTTGTCCATCTCGAGACTTTAGTCTTGTTACTGGACCTGAGTGTTGCATGCACATCCATTTTACACATCTGACTTATTTGTATGCAGTTTCTTGGTTCCTTGCCTCTCATTCAGATGTACTCTGACTTGAAGGATGCCCCCAATTAGTTGACTCGTATGACATGCTTGTTTGGGAAGCAGCGAGACTGTTCTTGTTTCCCTCACAGTGGGGCCCTGGACGGGGGCTGCGTGGTCTCACAGCAAGGTGTTCGCCTTAAGTGCTAGAGGTTCTGGGTTCAGGTCGTAGTGAAGGCTAGGATTTTTTCACGTGGAATTCTAGTAATTTTCCCTGGTCGCTGAATAGTAGGATCAGACGTCCATATATATTGCTGCACACGTAAAAAAAAATCCCTTGGCAGTTTGAAATCGAAAAGAGTAGCCTAACAGCTCTGCCAAGGCAAAATTTGGAGTTTAAAAATCGACCAAAAATATTCCAGGATCCTTGCCTCATAATACTTGTTGCAAAGCTACCATTTCATCTGTCCGAACGTCCATTTAGGGCAGCAGGAGATGTCTGTGGCCTGGAGTCAGGAACCAGGTCGGCCCACATTCCGAGATTGTCTAGGATGATAATGGGCCGAAACAATTGTCAATGAGGTACCCACCTACTGATAAATGGTAGACTCCTGCTGTTCATGCTTCTGCTGTAAGGTTCTTTTTATTTTGTCATGAGTTATGCTCTTAAACTGTAGTGTATATATAACAAAAATGTTTCCTGTCTGTATTTATTCTTTTAAAGGCAGTATAGGACCAGATATATTGGTAATCTGGTATATGTTATTTCCTGAAAATTGCAGTTCCCTGTGTGGGTTCCAGGGCCCTATTATAGGGAAACAAGAATAGACCCACTGCCTACCCAAAAACATGTCGTAAGAGTCGACTAATTGGGAGCTCAGTCAACCAGGAACAAACAGTTATTAAAAAAAATGGGGTGCTATCTCCATAATGAAGATTGACTGACTATACTGAATCTTGAATATGCTTAGTCCTTTGCTGTCATGGCTTACTCTGACTGACTGTTTTTGTCCATCTCATGATTTTTATCTTCCCACTAGCAATGCTGAATACCTAATAGTTAAGTTTCCCACCCATTATTTTTATTTTATAAGTGTGTAACTGTTATTATTATGGCAAAATGTTTTACTTGTATTTTTTATTTCTCTGAATAACATGTTATATTTCCAGTCTCTAAAGAAAATCTGTATTCGTGTGCTCCTGTTATTTCAACAAATATTGTATTCCTAGGCCATATGTCAATAATGTGTTTCTGTTATATTTAAGAAATAAATTCAATCCAAAGCTTCTCAGTCAGTTTAAATTTGTTGGTGCCTTTTAGATTTTTAGAAAAAAGTCTTTGTGTGTGCAGAGTGAAACATAAGAAAACCTTTTATCTATTTTGCATAAGCTTAAATCTACTGTTGCCATTGGAATTGGTTCTCTGTGCTGGTTGCTGAAAATATGGATAGCTTATGGGAATATCCCGAGTGCTGACTGTTGGTTTTTAAATAACCTTAGAGAAGCTTAAAGTATAGGGAAAGATCACAAGGACGCCTTTGAGGACGTGGACTACTATAATAATTATAAATATTATTAAAAGGGCTTAAACTGATAAACTGCACAATAATAATGATACCATCAATGGTTGCTATTGTTGATATTATTCTTGCATATGTAAACAGTTTAAGTCCTTCACCCCTAGCCACAACCCAACCATTTCATGCCTATATCATGCATATGGTGCTAGTAATTTTGCTTTTTTTTTGGGTGTGTTTTAGACCTATCAACTATGGGTCACCTGGTGACAGTAAAATGTTTAGTAATTTTGTATGTGAAATCATTTTTAAAAAAACAACAACTCAAAAGTGGATTTATGAAATGAAGAGATGGACTGAAAAACAGCCTGTGTGAGTGCACCATGAACTGTATGACAGGTAATAGTGCAGACTCATCACAATAGATGATAAATCTGAAAAAGACATTTGATGATGATTTGAAAAAAAAAAAAAAAACAGGAACAGAAAACTGAAGCCTTTTAAGGCATATATTTTCTTTAAGCTAGATTATTCTTCCCTCCCCAACCTCCCAGATGTACTGGACCATTTTTACATATAATTTCCTGTAAGAAAACTGTTAGATGAACATGGGTTTAAGAAAACTGTTAGATGAACATGTATTTATTCAGTTTCTGTTTTTCAGGTGGGCTTAGTGTTTCTACTGAGCATTGCATCTTTAATCATCTACTTTATCGATGCCTCGTAAGTATATATACTTATATATACTTAGACTATAATTAAGTATTGTAGATAAAAGGTGACACCAATACATTTGAAAAAAAAAGTAGCTGCAGATGATACTTCTCTTCCTGTCAGAAACTTTCCAAAAATATGCAAGTGCTGCCACTCTTTCTTTGCATTAAAGTTGAGTTTTGAAAATGAAATGTTCAACCTCACCAGGACCATGCAACGAGCTATTAACACCCATAACACAAAAGGCAACCACCCAGATGAGAATCCCCTGGGCACAAGTCACAGAAACTCTGTTCAACCGTTAGGTTACATCAGGGCCTCAGACAACAGCTGGGGTGTGGCTTTAGAGCAACAACAACAACAACATCATCCCGTAGTGGGTGAAGCCATAATCTAAGCCTATTGTCTGATTGACTTTGTACCCCACTATTACATCACACTGAGCGACAAACACCCGATGACACAAAGTGCCACCATTTTGATGAGGATCACCCGTGGAGAGTTCCCAGAAGCCCTGTTTAACAGTTAGGTTTTATTAGGGCCCCCAGCAACAACCAGGGTGGGGGCTTCAAAATAATGAACAATTCGTTCCACATGGAGACAGGAAATTTAAGTCCAATGTAAAGCCAGTCGTATGTTACATTAGCCAACTCAGTCATAGTTATATTTATACAATTCAGTTATCTCCGTGTAAGATGCAATTTTTCTCTATTTTGAAGCCCCACCCTGGCTCTTGCCAGGGGCCGCAATATAGCTCGACCATACAAATGGTCTAATGGCTGAACGCGGTTTCTGGGACCTCTCCACGGGTGATCCTCATCCACATGGTGGCACTTTGTGTCATCAGGTGTTTATGAATGAATGACTTTCTACCCCACCAGGACATCACACAAGCGATAAACACCCGATGACACAAAGTGCCACCATGTGGATGAGGATCACCGTGGAGAGGTCCCAGAAACCGCGTTCAGACAATTGGTCATATTGATGACCTGACTATATTGCGGCCCCTGGCAAAAGCCAGAGTGGGGCTTCAAATAACAAAAAAATTACGTCCTGAAAAGGACGTATAGAAGAGTAAGGTAAGTAAATATCAGGTGTTTATCACTTGTGTGATGTCCTAGTGGGGTAAAAATTGACTACTACTACTAGTTATACTTATTTTACATTATAAATCTGTAGTTTTATATTTAACTCAATTTATTCCAAACTGTTACTGCTTTAACTTTTAAGAGAATGGACAAGAAAGAAAAAGATTTAACTGATTAGCCTAGAAACTCTTTGGAAATTTATCGAAAAATTCCTCCTTGTTTTACAGAATCAACACGAGTGTTGAAACTTGTCTCCCTTGGTCTTCTAGCACCACACAACAAGTGGACCTGGCATTCAATGTATTTTTCATGATTTATTTTTTCATCAGGGTAAATATCCAATTGTTTGTTGTTGCTCTTGTTGTAGATGTATACTTTATGTTATACTGCATGGTTTAAAAAAAAAAAAAAGTTTAACTGCACACATACTTCTATAAGTATAATGGATTGCAACACTAAGCACTTCAGGAATATCTAGCCTAACACTCATCTTTGTGCCAGGTCATGCCAGTGTTCTAGGAAACTAGCGTGCAGACTATCTTGCTGACACTGCGGTTGCTATGGCTGGCCCAATACTGGACAGAAGTGATGTTATCAATGCCATGCGCTGCACTTACTGTACCGAGGAGCATGCCAAAGGACATGACTCCGTGTCCCTGTCTAGACAGATGGATATGGAGGTGCAGCCTGGAGCTGCAAGAAATGAACATTTCACAAAGGGGACTAGACATTTCATTGACCAACACAGAACAGGCGTCATCAGTTGTTTTACACTTATGGAGCTTTTGAGGAGGAGACCGGAGCACCTATGGATCTGTTTGGAGTTCTGTGATGATAATCCTTTCTAATGACTAATCACTTTGATAAGTGATAGAATGTCTCTTCTAGATCTTGCAGTGAGAATCCCATCTTGATTTACTGGCAAGGATCAGTCATCATCATCAGTACATTGTCCACTGGGCAAAAATCGCCTTATTCATAATTTAGGTGTTCTGAGCCCTGCAAGTATCAATATTCGTTCTACCTTTATCTAAATATAATTGCTCAGACTTTTTTTTTTAACATTGTATTTTAGTTTAATTTCCTGTTATTAATTTTTACTAGTATTTTTAATACTTTTACTATTATTATCACCCATGGTGTTATTGTTAGTGTTATTTCTTCTACTATTACGATCATTACTTCTAATACTGTCATTTGATAGTTACTATTTTAATTCCATTTTTTAAAATCCAAGTCATTCTGCATCACCCAGTCCTGTTCCTGTATTTTGTTGTTATGCGTGTACCTCCCCAGTGGCCAGGATACTCTTCTCCTTGTTGCCAAATTTTTTAAAATAACGGCTGCTGCTGAAACATCCAATTTTTCCTGTGTATTTTTTCTTTTTTCCATCTGCATCAAGTTTCTTAGTCCAGCGCACTATGATACTAGCTTGACTGCAGTCACCTCTTTTTATCACTTGGAGACATATAATCAGCAAATCACATACCAAATGGAACGCTAGCATAGTTAAATAAGAAGGTACCCTGTGTTCCTTGGGAATAAAAGAGTTAAATCTTTGGAATGCAATCCTGGGAAAAAAAGTGAGGGGGGGGGGGGGGGGGGGGGATTATTTTAAAAAAATGGGATCAAAATTTGTGAATACCAGAATCACAAATGTATAAACACTCACACACACACGCAAGCACACACATATATACACACATACATACATACGTATATGTACACATTCTTTTGTGGGTTGGATTTTTAATGTCAGATTGCACAGGGCCAAAGACTGATTTGACCTGCTCTTTTGAATTTTCACCTGCTGAAGGAATAATGATTTATGAAAGAAAGTTGCGGTAGAAGTTGTTCTAGATTTCATTAGAACACAGCCATTTCACTCAGCTGGCAGTATGCCACAATCAGCAATGACCAAGTAGGAATAGGAAGAGAGGCTGTCCATGTAAATGATAGAAATAAGGAAAAACAAGAGTTCCTTTGAATCTCCATTTATAAAACACACAGACAGGCATTCCTCCTTAAATTACACTTCACCTTATCCCCGTGTGGGTTGAGGGGTCCTATTATAAGGACAACAAGAACAGATCCACTGCCTACACCAAAACATGTTGTAAGAGTTAACTAACTGGGAGCTACCTTTTAAGTCGAAGTGCATCTGCCTGAAAAATGCGAAGATTTGATTTTGATTTGATTTGATTAAAGAACTGACATCACAGCACTCGGGGCATTCCCATAAGTGCTCCGTCCCCATCTTCAGCAGCCAGTGAAGAGTTCTGATACTAATGGTGCCAGTAGCTTTCTGATTAAACATCCGTCTTGCCTTTCCTCTGAGCCTTGAGCTTCAATCTCGCCAGACTGTGGTGATCCATCTGCTCCTCCGCATTGTACACGCTCACCCACAAGGCACTAACCACGTCTGCCCTATCATGTAGCAGTATTCCACCAAGTTGTGCAGAGCCAGCCAGTCTGTCCGCCTGTTCATTTCCCAACACACCGGCGTCACCCGGTGAAAAAATCCAGACAATACTCCTCACTCGTGTCCTCCGCAGCGAAGCATGCCACTCTGCACGAAGCATACCTGTTCTGATCTTCCTCAGCATGCTTTCTGAATCAGTTACAATTACAATATATGTGTGTGTGCGTGCGTGCGTGTGTGTGTGTGTGTGTGCGCGCGCGCACGCGCGCGTGTGTGTGTTATTTAGCCAGCGTAAAGCTGTAGTGGCCGCCTCCACCTCCATTCTTAAGCTGGATGTTGTGGTATCATATACTAGGCTCTCCTGCACCAAACGTCGACCATTAACTTTTGCTAAAAAGCCCTAGGCACTTCTTTTGCCGCTTGACACTGAACCGTCTGTGTAAATGATCAAATCCTCTGAGCAAGCATTATCTTGAATTAATTGCTGAATTTCCACCTCTGTGGCACCTGCTGGCCAGTCTTTGCATTCCCGGGTCAGCGTGATTATGACTCTACACAAGTCTGACTGCTCAGGTGGTACTTTGACCCACTCCTCCTCGCCTAATGTTCTCAAGGATGCAAACCTGTCTGATTGTGTCTTCTGCCTGAGCCATCCATGACCTCCCTCTTATCAGCCGCTGACCCTTAACTGCACCCAGAGCTTCATGCAGAGGGTGGTCTGTGTCTGCAGCTACCCTGAGATATGACTTCACCTGCATCACCTTGTGCCTACCTGCAACCATCGGCAAACCAAGGATGTATCGCATACACACCACTGGGGTGTCTCTGGTGCAACCCAGAATGACCCGCATAGTCACGTTCTGTATGCGCTCTAGTTTGTCCATCTGACTCTTTGAGACGGTAAGCAGTCCCAGAAACATCACAGAAACAAAATGGCGACTGTACTTATGGTGTGTACCTTCAAAGAACAACATGTTGTTGCACATTTTTTGGGAAGGGGGCGGGGGGCAAAAGGGCTGCCTGCAAAGGACATTCATAAGAAACTGCTTCCTGTTTATGCTGACAGATGTTTATCCTGTAAAGCGGTGCATAGCAGGGTAAAAAAAAATTGTTTTCAAGGATGCTCTAAAATTGTCAGTGAAGTCCGATCTGGTCATCCTGTTGAGATTGCAACAAACGCATTAGTGCAGCATGTGGAGGAGATGATAAGAGGTGACAGGCAAATAACAATGGACTCTGTAGTAGTTGCAGTAGGGTGCTCACATGGTTCAGCATGTAACATAAGTTGAATGTGAAGTGAAAATATGGTTTAGAAAACTGAGCACACAGTTATATGCAGCAGGTTTGGAAGGACAGATAAAACGATGGGAAAAGTGCATCAGTGTTGGTGGAAATTATGTTGAAAAGTAAAGGGGCAGTGTATGTGTAAAAATAAATGGTTGTTTCAGTTTTTTTTTTTAAATCCTGCTATGCTATGTGGTATTCAAGGAAATGAGAGAGCAGATGAGTTTGCAAAAGCTGGGAGTAATCTTCCACAACCTCATCCACCACACAGCTACAAGGAAACCAAAACAGCACTAAAGCAGTCTTTCAAACGGGAGTGGAGAAAGCAGAATAGAGATTACAGACCAGAGAGTGACAGCATATACAAACTCAAAAGGAAAGAACAAACATCAATTTTTAGACTTCGGACTGGACACTGTGGTCTTCGAGCACACCTGTACAGGATAGGCATAAAAGAATCTGCTGCCTGTGATTGTGGAGCAGAAAGACAGACCCCTGAGCACATACTGCAGTACTGTCCTTATCTCTCCCAGCAAAGACTGTGGATCTGGCCTAGGGGATCCACATTGCAAGAGAAGCTATGGGTGACCGGTGGCGACCTTAAATGCACAATCCTATTTTTGACCCAGACGGGACTCAATGTGTAGCATGACTGATGTCGAACGCAGAAGAAGAAGAAAAAAATGGTTGTTATCACATTGAGTTTTTTTTTTTAAACATACATTTGTGACTTACTTATTGATTTCCCCTAATAATTTGTCTTTTGGTTCACAGTTAATATAATATTCATATAATTAATGTCTATCTTGCTTTAACTCTTTCAGTACAGAGGGTTAACATCTGAGGACCTCGGAGTGGTAATGACATTCTTAAATTTCCCAAGTGTATCATATTAAAACAGTCTGCTGCTCTTATTTCCTGTAATATTATAGTGGCCTGGATCCAGCTGACCCATTTTATTCAACAGAGATCTAAGCTGTACCTTAGTTGCTTTTGGTGAATATCAGTCATTACAACCACATATGAACTGCCACCACTGAGCAATATGGATACTGCTTTCTCTTGTGTCATTGACTTTGCTTTGAAGTTGAAGTGTTTTTCTATAAGAAGTAGGAATTCTTTTGTGTCACCAATGGTCCATTCAGTAATGATTCCTCCACCATCCCTTGAGCGTTCTTTGCTGAGCCATCCATGAATACCTATATCTATATGTTTTTGTGTGTGGCTAGTTTGATTCTAATATTTGATCCTGTTTCCATGTTTTTGCCACTAAGTATAATGTTTGAGAAAGCAAATGTTCTTTTCCAAGCATTGCCATGCTGTCTTGGCAGTGTTATATCTTTGTTTAGAGTATTTTTCTGTCCATAATTAGCTTAGTATTTGGATTTTTGCCATTTTTTTTTTTGCATGCGTGTAAGGGTAATCGATCACAAATTACTTTGCAGGTTTTTTTTACAAATAATCTTGTAGCTTCCAAATAAAATATTACACATTTAACATTATTTGTCGTGTAACTTGAAAATGCTTGTTACAGTTTTAAAAGTGCCCAACTTTTTAGATTTAATTACTTGCCTGCTCATTCTACTCTTATTCTATTGCTAATTTTGAGGAAGATCAGTTTTAATGAGATTAATATTTACTGTTGACATTTTCAGTTTGTTGCAGCAAATGACAAACTATGGTTTTGGGTGGAACTCTTCTCTTTTGTGGATTATTTTACCATCCCTCCATCATTTGTAGCTATTTACTTGGACAGAAACTGGTTAGGTAAGCATGCACAATTGATGTATTTTGTTGGCATACTCTATCTTTAAAAACGTTTTGAAAAAAATGTTTACCATGTAATTATTTGTTGTATGTATGTTTGTTTGTTTCTTCAAAGTTATGCATTCACAAAACACTTTGAAGTACTTGTGTAAACTTTATTCTATCACTCACTTGCTAGAACGTTATTTATTTAATTATCCACAGCTGCTTACACACCACATATTATTTAATTACCCATAGTTTTTTTTGCCCCTCACCCGTTAAAGTACAATGTGTCATTTCCTTGAATGAAATGATTTACATGTATTCTCAACAATATACGATTATAAACTGGATCTGCCATAGCCTTTAGGCATTTCAGAAAATGGATACCATTTACCAGTAGTCAGATTCAGAAAATCAATGCCTGTTGTTAATTTTTTCTCTACATTTGAAATTTCATAGTGTCAGAGCAATTCTATTTGACCTACAGTTCTTTTTGACTTTGTATTCAGCAGGGTATTTACTTTTAAATATTTTTACAATCTTCTATCACTCTTAAGCCATATATAGAAAGAAATATTTACCTGGTTTCTTATAAAAAACAGCCCTGGTAAACTCAGCAGTTTTGGGATTGAAAAACAACTACATCATACAACAGATGTCCTAATTCTAGAGCACCAGAATTCGATTTCTGTGGTGGACAATTAATGTTTAAACATTTTTTTTTTACAAATTTATTTTTGTAGTTTTGGGACAATGCTATTAGATTTGCATTGTAATTGTAACTGATTCAGAAAGCATGCTGAGGAAGATCAAAACAGGTTAGCTTCGTGCAGAGTGGCATGCTTCATTGCGGACACAAGTGAGGAGTATTGTCTGGATTTTTTCACCGGGTGACGCCGGTGTGTTGGGAAATGAACAGGCGGACAGACTGGCTTGTGGGAGAGCACGTACAATGGTTAGTGCCTTGTGCTTACAAATTTACCTAATCTAAAATAGGTGGCAGAAAATGCCTCTCTGTGGCAGTTGGTAACAGCGCATTCTCTTCAGGTGGCCAAACCATCTCCTTTGTTGTTCTTAAATGAATTGTGTTACTGGGTTTAGTCTTAGTCTTCTTCCAATTACTTCATTCTTGATTTTATCTCTTCTTTCACACCAGCAGCTCTCCTAGGACATCTCATCTCTATCGTTACGATCTTGCCCTCATTGTTTGTAGTGAAGATTCGTGTTTGGCACTGGTAGCACAATAATTCATATATTATTAATTCTTTATAAAAACAAAATTTTAAGTAATATAAATGAGATTTTGTTGACTTGGCTATAACTTCTAGTTTGAAAATGGAGGTGAAGGCAGTCACTGATGCATTCCGCTGGCTTGAGAATCAGCTGTGAACACATGTCATGATTGTCACTGACTCACAGAGCATGTTGAGAAAGGTGGAAACAGGTAGACTCTCTGCAGAGTGGCAAGCATCACTTCAGAGGTCGCGTGTAGTTAGTATCCTTTGGATATTCTCTTCTGGTCATGCCGGTGTGTTGGGAAATAAGCAGGCAGATAGAATGGCTGGTTCTGCGCCACTTGGTGGTGAAGTGATATATGACAAGCTAGATTTTGTGAGAGCCCTCTGGAAGCGAGTGAATAGATCAAAGAGCAAATAGATCTTTATGGTCTGAGGATAATGGTGCTGCGAGGAGTTACCTGGGGATTTGGCTGACACTGAATTCTCAAGGAAAGACGAGATGGATATACAATCAGACATATACTGGTGCCATCGTCATCAGAACTCTTTGTATGCTACTGAAGATGGGGATGGAGCACTTATGGGGGTGTCCCGAGTGCTATGATGTTGATTCTTAATTCAACATTTCATTGACTTGGCTATAAAGAGCTAAGTGACATCAAATGAGATTATTACAAGGTAGATAAAAATAAAAAATTAAATTAAATAATCCCTAATAATATCTGAATTTTTGTGTGTGGGGTAAATACCATCTACATCTTCTCTTTTTGTCACCTTACTGATATCAGTTTGCAGCCCATTGACAAGGTTTTCTGTATTTGTCTTGTGCTTCTCGGGTAGCTTGGGGGACGGATATGTTCATAATTTTTGCAGGTTTTCGGCTTCAACATTTATCCGTATCTTTCTTTGTCTTCCTCTTGCCTTCCTCCCGGATGTTCTGCTGTAAAAAATCTCATATGCAGTTTGGTATGGCTGCAATCTTGCTTGGCTGAACCATTTCATTCTTTGTCTGCCAGTATATTCCAGATATGGTCTTATTACCATCTTCATATATTTTAATAATGAAATATTTCATGATACATCCAGTCATTTAAAAACTTTAATTTATATTATATCTCCAAGACTTAATTTTTACTGAGGAAAGAGAGGGAGCACATGTGAGAATGTTCCAAGTGCAGTGATGTTCAGTGATGTGTAATTTCTAAGATTAATATCCTTAAGGTAAATGTAAAGTCAGGAGATGTGAACCAGCGCCATTGCACACGTTATAAACCATAAGTGCTCTGCCACCAGTACGAACAGCTGATAAGAAACTGTCTGCCTGTGTGGCCGTCCACACATAACTCTATAGCTACAGTGATGTTCCTCCATCTAGCCCAGAGTGTCACTATGGTACCCATTTCCTAGAGGCTGGGTGAACCCCGGGAACCACCCGGTTTCGAACACCGACCGTGGCTGCAGCGAGTCGCAGCTGGATTTGAAAGCAAGCCTCCTATCGACTACGCTAACGCTAATATCCTTGTTAGAATTTATGAGTAATAATAATAAAAACCAACTGAATAACACCAAAAACTATGTCGTTGCATGCTGATTATTCTCTTTACCACTTTAAGTTCACGTGACACATCTTCACACTGTAGCTGGCACACTAATGTGTCCTGACACACAGTTTGAAAAGCTCTGGGTTTTGCAATCACTATAGTCTTGTCAATAACAAATCAAACCAGCACAGCAGCATAACCAACACTTTTGCTGGCATCGCTAGTGATAATTGTGCAATCACTTACACTAATGATAATAATTTTAAAAATAAGTATATAATGTGATTTCTAAGATATATAGCAAATGTCAGAACATGAAACAGAGAAACTAGCAGAGATCGATTGTGAAAGGATATTACCTGAAAACCAATGTGTTAGAAGACTTATAAATATATGTTTTCAAATATTTTAAAGGTGCACCACATTTTGTGGCTTCTTCTTTTCTTCTATCAGTCATGGTCCTTGTGTGGGTTCTGGGGTGCCACTTTTGGTGGGAGGGGAAACAAAATAGACCCACTGCTTTCTAACAAGTGTGGCATGTTGAAATTGGATGTGTTGGGTCAAACTGCTTTGATATTGTAGGTTTTTGTTGAAATTTATTAGGTTGGATCAAAAGGCTAAGGTATTGCAGCCTAGCTGTAAACCACAGCATGCTTTTGGGAGTGAACGCAGAAGAAGACATACCTACAGAGGAGCATAAGATCTCAACTAGCTAGTCATTCTATCCTTAATTATCCAGTCAAAATGGACGCTAGGCACGGCCACTGTTTTGAGCCGTGGCAAATGTTTTGCTTCTGCCAGACGGTGGCTGTTGCATTTTTGCTCCATTTATACACTGAAAGGATTAAGTAGTTTCATCGCCCAGCTTCTGCGTTGAGTGCATGGCGTGACACTGTGAGCTGTGTATTTCATTTTGAATTTTTTTTCAACTCTGACCAGCGTGGTGGTGTGAATTGTAGATTCAGAAAATGGTGCGATGCCTGTTGTCGCAATATTGGTGGTGCCATTGTGTGATTAAAATCGATCGCGTGTGCAATTGCTGATCTGTTGGTGACTTCTGCTACCATCCACGATGAACTGAATTTCTAATGTTGGACTGTTATTGTTGGCACTTCAGATGGCTGCTGTATGCTTTTAATGCGTGTGTATGCTAGATATGCTGAGACAGCAGTCTGTCAATCTTTCCACAAGGGACTGTGATTTTTAGTACTTTTTAGTACTTTTAGCTGCTTCAACCCTTTTTAGTCACCTCTTACAAGAATGGCACATTTTTTTTGGCTACTATTTGTTGCTTTATTTATGGTGTGCAAGTAACAAACCACCAGTTATACTGATATAAAATAAAACATATAGGACCCTTTGTATGCCAGTGGCATATCAGGCATATAATGTTAAACTCCTATTTTTATAGAGCTTCTTCTTAGCATTTACTGGCTGTAAACCTCAGCAGAAAGTTCTGGTTGTTTATCCACTCCTGGACTTTGGTCTTTTTCAAGAACTTGAGTTTTGTCTGCATATTTAGTTTATAGATCTGATTTGTTTGTATATAAACCGTTGCTTCCTTTCATCTCATTGAGATTCTCTCCAGCTTAAAAGGAAGCACCTCTAAAAAGCCACCTTTTATGGCATATTTGTTGGGGAAGAGGTGCAGTAAGTCTTTTCTTATTGACCCCCAAAACAATGCCCCAAAGCACACACTTGTAGTATTTTTTATAGACCAATCGACCTAAAATGGATGATGTAGTAAGCTTCATGCAGACCACTTTTACTTCCAAGGACTTCATCTGGTATCAATTTTAGACTAGGTAAACCTAGGAATCAAGGTCATTAAAAAAAAATTTGACTCAGTGCGGATTCTAACTCTTGATTTACAGGCTGGTAAGCAAGCATCTAGCCATTATGCTACCACGGATACAGTTTTACTTCTTCTTCTTCTCCTTCACTTCCTCTTTTACCGCTGTGGGTGTCGAGGGAGATATAAGGTTCTGTTTCTAGCTCTTCTGGCCGCCTCGACCATAGGCACATCGTGCTGTTGTAGTGTTTCTCTTATGTTTTCCTTCCATCTTGTTCTTGGTCTATACAGTTTTATTGATATAGTTAAATGTAATTATGTCCTTTACAGGATGTTGCAGAACAAACCCCACCATTTTTTTACTGTTTATGATTTTACTAGGCAATTTTATGTTCAGTAGTTTGCCATTGCCTCTGAACAGTCGGCTTTAGATACACTGTTGAA